GGGGGGGGGGGTGTCCTAAAAGCGTTCTTTAGTAAATTACCCACTATACATTATTGTTTTGAAGACGCTCATGTGAAATTTTACGATTCTGAAGGTCAATACCATTATTGTCGACAGCCCCTTTTATTAGTAATCGTTTCAGAGATTGGATCCAGCAAGATGGCTTGGGAGGTGATTCATCGATCTCCTCGCGTACACTCCCTTCTTCTTCTTGCTCTTTTAGTTGCTGTAGCTGGACAAATAACTCAAGTTAGTTTCTGGGCAATAACTTTGTTCATTTTTTCAAACTAAAAGGGTTTTTGGATTTTCAGAAGTTTATCGATTTCGGTTCGATAAACTTATAATAATATCTGCTTTTAAAAATGACAAAACAATTTACGTAAAATCGTCTTTAAAGTCACATCCTTTGTAGGTAGCCCTGGCTGTATAGTTTATATCTTCTCCCAGGGTTCAAATTTCTGCATATTTCAAGAAAAGAAAATGTTTTAAATTTCCTAAGACATAAAATAAAAAACTATCAATAATATTGCACTTCACGTATTGTGCCTTTTATAGATTAATATGTACATTGTACAGGGTGGTTCAAAAAACGTATTTTTGAAGCCTTTATATGGACTTTAAGGGACTGTAAGTACACTTTAAGGTGACCTTAAATTTAGGAATGGCATGTCCGATTTACTACGATACCCGTTAATCCTTTGTGTGATGATCAAGGATTTCGTAGATATTCTTATTTATGTAGCGGGAAAATAAGTGGGGAAAAACCACGCCACCTCATCTTTGTTCGGACAAAGGTTTAAAGGATACCGTTGTGTAACGGGCATGCCTCTGTCTTAATGGAATGCTATGTAAAATTATGCTTACAGTCCCTTTAAAGTATAAAATGTTCAAAACTTTTTCGGGGGGGGGGCGGGAATATTAATGGTGTTGGATTGTATTATCCAATGTATTTTGTATACTCCTAATTTTTTTTATCAGGTACACCGAAGGTTTGAGTATAAGTACAGTTTTAAACCCCCCTACCTAGCACAGAAGGATGGAAGTGTCCCTTTCTTCGAGTACAGTGGCAACGCAATCGCGAGCGAAGAGAGTGTTCGAATAACCCCGTCTCTCAGGTGTCATATTTTTATTCTCAACATTGAAAACTAAATCTTTTTTCTTGAATTTATGATCTCGTTAAAATATGGAAACAACTGATACAGCTCATGCAATGTCAGTTCGTTTACAATAAACGTACAAAATATGGAAACAACTGATACAGCCCATGCAATGTCAGTTCGTTTACAATAAACGTACGAAATATGGAAACAACTTATACAGCTTATGCAATGTCAGTTCGTTTACAAGAAACGCACAAAATAAAAAAAATTCTCATCTAACATTGAATGCTACAATGACGGCCAACAAAAATTGAAAAAAATATTTTAGATTATTTTAGTAAATTAGGAAGTATAACAAGTCAATTTTAAAGTTTTTTCCTTTTCTTCCAAATACTTACTGACAAAAATTAATTTTAATCTCCTAGTTAAGAAGTATTTTGAAAATACCCTCCTCTCTAAAAGAGGAAATTGTTGTAAATATTTTGACAAAGTAATGTAGAAAAGGATTTTTAATACTTCTCTCTCAATTTTTTATATTTTTTATATTTCCTTTAAATTATTTTCCCATTTTACTAAGTCTTGGCACCACTATTTTAAATCCCTGTTCATTCCCTTTAAATTCTTTTATAATTTGAATGAATTGTTGCAGGAGCCAGAAGGGGATGATTTGGACGAAGGATATCACTAACTTCGACTGGTGGGAGGTTGAGCTTACATTCAGGTCACATCGTATAAATATCTTCGGATGTTTTCCTAAAACATTTAAATAGCAGTGCTTAGCATTCATTTTAATTTGATCTGGATCCTGGATCCCTCCTGAAAAAAATGGATCCGGATCCAGGTCACGAGCATTTGTTGAAATATTTAACAAAAAAGAAGTATTAAATTATTTGTATTTTTTCGTTTTTATGCAAAAACTTGATGAACCATTCAGAGATGAACAAATTTGTATTACTTTTTTAAACAGTTCATATTTGGGTTTTGAGATTAAACCTTTTTTTCAATTTTGTTGATATTTTGCCCCTTTTGGATCCGGATCCAAGAAGCTAACATGTTGCGGATCCACCAAACCCGCTTTTACATCAATTCTCATCAAAAAATTCATTTTTATTTTCCCGTCTTGCTTTGCTTGGTTCTTATCCACTGTTAAGTCCGGTACATTTCAAGAACCGGGCTGACATTAACCAGCTAGAGCAAACTGTACAGTACACATACATTTCAAGAACCGGGCTGACATTTAACCAGCTAGAGCAAACTGTACAGTACACATACATTTCAAGAACCGGGCTGACATTTAACCAGCTAGAGCAAACTGTACAGTACACATACATTTCAAGAACCGGGCTGACATTTAACCAGCTAGAGCAAACTGTACAGTACACNCTTGTAGAAAGCTGGATTTTCAATTTGACCAGGCTAAACGGCCTGGTGAACCAGCCCCTTGTAAGGAAATTCTCGCGTATCATCTTTTAATAAGTCTAATATTCGTAGGGTGACTGGTAGAGGTCGCATAGGAGCTGATGGTCTAGCATTCTGGTACACAGCTGCTAAAGGTAGAACAGGGATTTTCAACCAACAGGGGGAAATATTTTCTAGAAAAATATCACTTGTCATTTCCAAGCAGAAGTACAATTTTATAATTTCATATATATGAACCAAGAAGGGGGTTAAATTATTTTTGGGGGGTTGCATAAGTATAAAGAGGGATGTGGCCCAATATGAACAATGAACATTATGCGAAAATTTTGGGTTGATCAGAGCATTGTATCAGGTGAAAGTCGTTACAGGTTACAGGAGAGTGGTTGTTTTGTCTAATAAAATGTTAACGAGACTAATCTCTACTAGGTGTTGAAGGACCTGTGTTTGGTTCGAACGACCAGTGGATCGGTCTAGGAGTATTCTTCGACTCTTTCGACAACGATAACAAACATAACAATCCGTACATCATGGCGATGACGAATGATGGAACCAAACTTTTCGATCATCAGAATGATGGAGCAACACAACAATTGGCGGGGTGTCTCAGAGATTTTAGGTTAGTTTATCACAACTTTTTCACGATGATACGGTACAATTCTTGTATTTTTTTTCGATTCAGCAATTTATTTTCTGTATGTTTTCTTTAAAAATCATCCCCCCCCCATCCATTTTAAAAATGATTTATTATAAATAAATAATTTTACGTGAAAAAATGAATTTTTTTGGGTTAAATTAAGCATCATTTTTTTTTAGGAATAAACCGTTCCCAGTGAAAGCCAAGATTGAATATTACCACAACATCCTGACTGTCCTTATTCACAACGGTATGTCCAACAACGACAAGGACTTCGAGATGTGCATCAGGGCTGAGAACGTTATCCTCCCTAAAAATGGATTTTTCGGCGTTTCGGCGGCCACCGGCGGCCTAGCAGACGATCATGATGTTTTGAGATTTGTGACGCACAGTTTACGGAGCCCTGAAATGGCCTTAGTTCCAGATTCCGTTGACAGTCAGGTATAATTAAGGTTAAATGTCTTGACAAAGTACTTTTTCCCAAAACAATTTTTCCGAGTGAATTTTTTCCAAGGAAAAATTGACACGGAAACTAATAAATTTTGTTAATTTCCGGTACGGAAACCAGAATAAGTTTTTTTTTTCAAACTGTGATCTGAAAAATACTTTTAAACAACTGAAATGGTAGAAATCAAGTATGAAGTCCACTTTCTAGATTCTTAGATGGGTAAAATTTCACCTAAGAAAAAAGTGCAAAACGATTTACATTTTCTTGAATTCAAAACGTTTTTTCAGTTGATGATTTATTGTGATTAATGATTAGTCCCATGAATGCTATTAACCTGTTATTAATTAGGGTTGTTAACTGAATGTTTTCTGACAAATGGTTTTTTGACTATGGGTTTCCGACCAAAACATGTACTTTGTCTAAAAAAATATCATTAACGAAGGTTCGTCGTTCAAAATCGTCAAGAATTAAAAACTACCTACTTTCGTTAACGAAACGACGAACTGAAACTAAAAAAGAGCTCTACGTTTTTAATTATGAAAACGATCTTATTCAAAAACAATCGTTTTTAAATCGACTGTTTAGCTTTTCTTTTTTTCTTCACCATTATTTAAACGAAACGATTGTTTTTCATAAAAGTGAACATGTTCCATCCCTGTTTGTAATACTTTTCGTTTTTAAGGATTCTAAGAAGTTCGAAGCTGAGTTTGCGGAATATCAAGAGAAATTAAAGGTTCAAAAGGATCAGTGGGCTAAAGAAAACCCAGATAAGGTAAATTTGCCCCCCCTCCCCCCTCCTTATTTCCACTGGCCACGGACTGGGG